TGTGTAAAAATAAAATCACAGCTACAAAAACACTTCGAATTATCCAAAAGTTCTTAGAGTCTACAAATCTTTCCCAGAGTTCTAATTAAGGAATAATGAGAAATAAGGAGCAGAGAAGAACCACGAGAGTACCCTTTAGCCAATTCTTGAATAATCCGAGATGTACCGAAAACGCAGGATACTGTGAAAAGGGCGAGTCTCTAATTACCAATTAAATACAGTTATAACTGCCGACAAAGGCAACCAAATTTCACTTTTCTATAGTTAGAAAAGATAGTTTAGGAGGAAGGATTTGTCACAGACCATCACATCATTGTAACTTCCAAAAGACCTATGTAAAATTAGTTCTTTGAGATCAAAGAAAAGTTTACAATGCCCACAAGTCCAGGCAATATTTTGATTTATTTTACAAACACCCTGTAACTGAACCACTCACTAGCAAAAACATACAACCCTTAACGAGACTTCTTTCGAAGTACAGGGTACGACTGGCGACCATTGTCCTTAAAATAATCCAATCCTGGCTAAATGACAGTAGCCGTCAGTTCAAACCTATGAACCTCTCAATCCAGCAACAGTTCGAGTATACACAAAAAACCCCTAAGCAAATTAAAGTCAACCAAAGTAATTCCGAGATCTGTTTCCCTTCCTCGCCCTTGGAGACAGCACCTCTTTGTGCACCGGGGTCTGAAGGTCTCCTGACCTCAAGTCCGGTTACAGCCCGGCTGCGACGCCCCGGCAGGACGCCCTGTCGTGAGCCTCGGGGCAGCCCCCGCTCGGCAGCGGCAACGTCGGCGGGTGCGGACGGGCGCGATCACCGCAGGAGTCCGGAGGCCAGGCGTCGTTCCGCCGGGCCCGAAACCAAGAGCGGGGCGCGCCGTCACCAGAGACCGGGCCTCAGGCTGGCGGGAGCCGGCGGAGACCGAGGCCGGGATCTCAGACTTGGCGGGCTCTCCCTCAAGGACCGGAGGCCAGCGAAGAGGGCAGGAGGCAACAGGCGGACACACCTGGCGGGGACCCTCGGAGGCAGGTCCCGGCGTTAGCGTGGCGCCCGTCGGAGTCTCCCAGCATTCGCCACCGCCCCTCCTCCCGGCCCAGGGCCACCTCCACGTTCCGCTCCAACGTGGCAGCCGCAGCCCCGCCCGCCGGCCGGCCGGCACTTCCGGGAGCGCCGTCTCTCCCCGCCCACCCGGCGCACGGCCAGCCTCGGGACTTCCGGGACCGGCTGCGGAGTGGGGTTCTCGCTCCGGCTCACGGGCGCGCGAGATTAGGAACGTCTCTGAGGGGGCCGCTCAGGATGCGGAGGCGGTGGCCGGGACAAGGGGTGAAGGAGAAGTCCCGCTGGGCGTCTCCGTCCGGCTGGAGAACGACCGTGGGCCACACGAACGCCACGTAGCACTAGTCCCGTGAGGCTCAGCAGCCCCTGGCGACATGGCCGGCGCGGGACAAACCACGTGAAGAGTCGGGCTGCAAGGGCCTTATTGCAGTTTGTGGCTGGCTTCTTAAAATTGCCTTCTTCATTCGGCATGATTGCATTTTGAGAACTTCTATAAAACGAAACGCTGTGGTCCTATATAATGGCTATTGTGGACATACATGTTTTACTACTCCAAAGAGGCACTGACAGGGTGGTGTGTGTCAATTCGTTAGCATCCTTTCATACTTAAGTTACTATCCCAGGTGATTAATATCCCAGGGCATTACTTGAGATGTATTAGCACTTGCCTTCGGCCACTGTTACCTTACTAGTTTTCGCAGAGCACCGAATCAAATTAGATGCGTTGCCTGAATGTACTTTTAGTTTAGGGAATGATTTTGCAGCGAAGTCAAGCCGGAGGAAAATCCCTTGCGAAAGTACCAGAACCTGGATTCAACCTAGGTCTCCTAACGGCTAGCTAGACGAGTTCTCCTCCCGTTAGACCTATCGCTCAAAGCCAACTTTTCTAAGGCCTTTCTTTCCTAAACGCCTTCCCTGGAAGTAATTTTTTTTCTTTTGCACACAAAAAGACAAGTAAAATACGGCAAATACTCCTATTTAAGTACTAGAGAGTAGAAATGTTTTCGTACTCGCTGCACCCTTCCTAACACCCTTTCAATCTTATAGGTGTGGTTCGATTGAAAGCGCAAAAGTTTATTTCTGTAGGTTGAAATAGACAAGCTCTAGCAGACTACAGTTGACCCTTGAACAATCCTGGGTTAGGGGCACCAACCCTCAGCAGTCAAAAAGTCCCTGTATAGCTTTTGTCTCCCCAAAAGCCTAACTGCTAATAGTCCCTACTGTTGGCTGGGAGTCTTACTGATAACATAAAAGTCAATTAACACTTTGTATGTGATCTGTATTATATACTGTATTCTTACAATAAAGCTAGATGGAAAAATTTAGGAAAATCATATTTACTATTCCTTAAGTGGTAGTGGATAATCGTAAAGGTCTTCATCCTCATAGTTTTCCACTGAGCAGGCTGAAGAGGAGGAAAAAGAGGGGTTGGGCAAAAGCAGAAGAAAATCAGCATGTGTGCATCCACTAAGTTCAAACCCACATCGATCAAGGGTCAACTGCACTAGCTTACAGTGGCTAATTTCAGGTATGTTCTAAAAGGCCTCCCACTTTATTTTACTACTACAAGACTGGTTTACCTAGAGAGGTGGGAATAAAAATCCCTGACTTAAGTGGGACCATCTTTGAGCCAACAGAAAATGTTAAAACTCCAACTCTTTCCTACTGTCCCATCGCCAAAAGACTCTTTGTTACCTGCAAGTGTGAACTGGTATGGCAAAAGGGTTCATTAGGACTCTCACTTTCCTAAAAACCAATGATTACATTTACATTACCAGTGGTTACATTTTCTGGCATCATTTAATATAATCGTACAGTACAAACTGCACGTTCCTGTTGCAGGAGTCAGCAAACTCCACACCTCCCCTCCTCCCTTTTAGGTCCTATGAGATAAGAATGGTGTTTATATTTTTAAATATGAAATATATTTTTCCCCTTGGGGAGAAAAGGCAAAAGGAAAATATTTCATAACGAGTGAAAATTATATGAAATTCAAATGCTGTTGTCCATAAAGGAAGTTCTATTGGAAAACATTCACACTCAATGGTTTACGTATTGTCAATGCCCTAATTGTAATTGTAACAAAACAGCCAAGGATAAAATACGGCTGTAGACGTGATAGGTGTATTTACATTTCATTAAACATACATACTCCCAGCTTGTTTTACATGCAGGTAGTCCTGGCTTTGATCATGCAAGCTGACACTGTGCAATGCAATCTTAATCTATGGGAAAATTTGATTGTTCTGTGACCTTAAAATTTGTCAGATTAAAACCTCTACTGCTGTTGGTTATTAATGTAAAATATTGTACACTGTAAAACATTAGAAACACTAAAAATTACAGTGTTCTCTTTATAAATAATTTATCAAGAGTAGTTTGAACAGTGCTTGTGTTCTTGTCATATAACTTTTGAGGAGTAAGCATTTTTTCTATGCCTTGGCAAATTGCCATACTCCTTTCTATATTAGCTTCCAAAACTTTATCTTTCACAGTTTCAATGGCATCAAATACATCAAGTAAAAAACGTGAAGTTTTTTTTTTTACTGGCATTCACTTTCTCTGAGACATGTTCATCCTTTATATCAGAACCATTCCTCATTTGTCTATAGATTTGCCTTCACTGAGTTCCTCTGGCTACGTATCTATTA